ATCATTGCTTAAGCTCCCTGTTGTTAGCACTGTTTCCTTGTTCAGGTTAAATCCTGATCAGAATTAGCAGGGCTCCTGCAACCCCTCCATGCAACCTCTTTAAATTTGCAGACCGTCAGACAAACCACAAGAAAACAGCTGTGAACCTACACTGTCAGAGATCACAGTCATGGGATACTCCATGCAGACAAGCCAGTATCGTTACACAGAGTGGATAGAGTATGATCATGACACAAGGAAGGGAAATTGGTCAAACGTACATGCAAGGGAATTGTATGTACACAAAATGGAGGACAAGAATGTAGCATCCCTGTCAGAATTTCAAGAACTTGTCAAACAGCTGTCAAAACAACTACAAAAGGGATGGCGAAATGCATTGCCAATGAGCCAGCACTAATATTTTATTAGTGAAAAAAAAAAAATCTTCTAAGTATTTTTTTGAAACACATTTCAGAATAAAAACTAGTGATAAAAAATAATGGTTTGATCTCCCTGAGATCATTTTCAAGTTGCAGAAAAAGCGAATGAAATATACATATATAAGTACAAATTAGGGTGTGAGAATGTCCAGCATTTAAATATGTAAATACAAGCACTAAAATGTAAGTGTTAAAATAAGAATTAAATTAATTACAAGAAATTACTCTATAAATTATTTTGTAGGTTAAAAAAACTGCTAGTAAAACAACATTAGAGAAAAATCATCACTCCCTTGGTGCAAGTAATTTATTAAATATTAGACGAGGTTGACCAAAATAACATGATTGCCAGGGGTAAGCAGATCAATAAAGCTGGTGAATCTGAATAGACACTTGAAATCAAGCTTAAACAAATTGGAAAGGTGGTAATATCTTATGGATAGTAAATGCAAAACAGTTTAGCTTCAATTATTTGCTTTAACATTGAATGATAGTTTTCCCAGACATTATTTGGTCCTCGAGGGCCAGTTTTCCTCAAGCTTCATGAGCACTTCAGAAAACTGAATGCTTCTCAGCAGTGATAATTAAATGTCCATGGACAAATAGTCATGCATACATTTTGTATTTTCTAGAGGTGTCTAGTGTCAAAGCGATGTAGCATGTCCAATTTAAACTGTAGATACCTAAACCCCTAAATCAAATTAAAGCTTATTGAGCTGGCTATCAAACTATACCGAGAAATGAATTGTTGAATTTTTTACAACCTCTAAATGCAAGCTTCTGAATCACCATTTGAAAGCTACAAGTCAAAGCAATTTTTTT